TTTTATACCTTCCCTGAACCTCCACGAACATTTTAAAACTAAGATAAGATAAATCCGTTCAGCTGTTCTCGAGTTTTAGCGAGAAGGTAGAAGGTAGAAGAAGGTAGTAGAAGAAGGTAGAAGAAGGTAGAAGATTATGTGAAATATTTTTCATGGTCTTACATATAATAAAGTTTATAAAAGATTGTAGTTATATTAAATTACGTAGAATAAAGAATATATTGATAAAAAATAATTTGTTCAATATTATTTTTCTTTGGTTAATCTCATTACAAATATGGTATATTTTCTTATTTTTAACGAGTCTGTAATGAGTTATCTTCGTTTTAACCGTCGTCAACATACAGTTATTTTAACTGGCAGTTAATTTAAATTCTTGTACAATTACTATATCACCTAAAACAGTGCTAGTTATCATAACTATGAATCCTCTTTATAACTGCTATCTTGTTAATAGATTCCATTGTCGATAATTTTAATACCAAGTACAACGAGTTCGTATTACTAGACTAAATACAGTCAGTTTTGCGTTTTTAATTAAATCTACGTTGATATTATCTGTTTAATCTGATGGAAACTGATAGTAAGGATGAGATGTATGACAGACATTCATTTATCGTCTTAATGATCACGGTTGTAAAGTAACCGATATTTTGGGAGTATGTAGTTTAAAATAATAAAATACGCGTAGTAATCCGAATAATATAATAGTTTCATTTAGATAGTAAATATACTGAGCTTTATTCCCAAAGAGGGTTGATGTCACGCAGGCCTCCGGTCGTAAAAACAATTAGACAAAACTATTCACAACATGTAAGGCAAACCCTGGCTAAAGCTGGGAAATTGCCAGGAAGAAGATACTGAGCTAAAAGACCATATTATCATAAATACGTCATCAATACATAATCACAAAACAATTTTTGACTCCCAATATATTATACCATATATTCCCTATATCTAAAACCATAGAAGTTGAATATGATTTTTCAATACAAAAACATAATATATATAAAAATGACTAATTTTTCTACAAATATATCACCCAACTTATGATATATAATATAAATCCCTACTAATATTATAAATGCAAAAGTAACTCTGTCTGTCTGTTTGTTACGCTTTTACGCCTAAACCACTGAATTGATTTTAATGAAATTTGGTACAGATATAGAGTTGACCTTGATAAAGAACATAGGATAGTTTTTATCCCATACTTTTGAAAGGTTCTCTTGGAAACGCGATATAACCGAACTCTAGGCGGGCGAAGCTGCGGGCGAAAAGCTAGTATAATAATTTTTTTATCACGGGTAGGTATGAACATATATATATATATATATATATATATATATATATATATATACAGGGTGACTGGTGAATTACTATCAATATTTAAGGAGCATACTCGGTACATGATTCTCATTCGAATTATGTAAAAAAAATAGGTACTTAATTTTTGACCAAATTTCCGTATAAATAAATAAAGTGTGGACACGTTCCAAGTGTTCAAGTGTGGACGCGTGCGGCGGCGTGCTGATACAACACCACGTCACGACATGCGTATGTGTGAGTGTCAGTGTATACCTAATCTGTAGTGTGTTCATACGATGCGTAATTAATTACATAACTTTTGGTTAACTTTACTTAGAAGTTTATTAATATTTGTGTTATATCAATTTTTATTTGGTCATATATGATCGTCAAATATCACGTCCTCAAGTATCGATAGTAATTCACCAGTCACCCTGTATATGTGTGTGTGTGTGTGTTACCTTTACTACAAGAACTAATTATCTTTTTTATTCATCATAATACACGAATTCATCTAGAAGTACAACTAGTAGCAGCTAGTAGTATTATAGTTATGCCTAAATCTACTAGATATTAACCGTGACGGTATCTGAATGGCCGGATATGTTACAATACAGTATTGTAACAGTCATTGTTTGAAATTTAGGTAATGGACCCTTCCGATAAGATTAAGTTATGAGAGGAATTCTGGACTAAAGAACTTAGAATGGGTCAAGGATTTTTCAATAATGACTTATTTCTTATAACTTTCTACGTAAAAGAATGCCTGGGCACTCACGTTATAAAAAAAATGAAATTGAAATAATCAACTATTATTAGTATACTATTGGAATTCTTATTTTAATAGGAATTTTGTTTAATTCTGTGATTCACATATATTTACGGCAACTTTAAGAACATTATATGTATCATATATATATGTACATATATGATACAACTGGTTTTTACTTCAAACTAAAATTGTTAATATTTTGTCACATTTTCTATGTCAATTTATAAAAATTTTCGTGTACAATTATTACTACTCTTAACTATATACAACTCTACATATTATTTTACTTACTATTTACTTATTTATAATAATCATCTTTCCAAAAAAACTAACCACCTCATTTTATTTACGAATAAACAATTAAATATTTGTTTCAACAAAAATATATCTCATTAAAATCGAAAAACTATAATTATATAAAAAATAAGTATATATAGATTATTTTTTGTAACTTCATTAATTATTCAGGTATTTAAGGCAGCTTGAGTCAATATACCACCTGCAGCTAAAATAACAACAAATTTAATTAATTGGATAAAAAAATTAAATACAAAAACTCATTTTTAAAAGAGGGCATTAATAAACAAACAACCTACAAAATAAAAATCCAATTTTGTTGTATTTTCTTTAAAATATAATATAATAACATGAATTTAAATCTATTTTAAAACTATTAATTTTCTTATATTAGCATCGTTTAGGGTTCAATATAAATGTCATATATAAATAAGGTACTTAATTATACTACGGAACCCAACATAATATTGTAATTAACGCACTTGACATTATATTAATTATTAAATATTCCACATTCGCATCCTCTCTATATAAATAGGCACGATCCTTATAATAAAAACTTAACTCCACTCACGTCTACACCTTTATATAAATAATTGGGTGATTATTATTATTAAACAAAAAATCATTAGACACGATGGCTCAGTAAACAAAATGACTTAACCACATAAAAGGTCACACATTCAAACCTTCTATATATGTATATAAAAATGGATTGCTGTTCCTTAGTCTCGCTAAAACTCGAGAACAGCTGAACGGATTTATCTTATCTTAGTCTTGAAATGTTCGTGGAGGTTCAGGGAAGGTATAAAAGCTGAAAAAAATTGATTCATTACTGGGAAAACCATAAAAACAGCCCTTTTCTATTTCCCATACAAACGTTTTTTTTTGACATTAGATTTGACAACTAACTAATATGTCAATCATTCTGTCGCACTTCAGAACACGGAGATTTATGGCTTACAGGTAAACTCCAAAAATATAAATAAAAAAACGTAACAGATATTTCTTGATTATAGGGCGATACGAAGTTCGGCAGGTCTTCTAGTCTTTTCAGTTTTCATACAAATTAATTGATAGCTTATTTTTTCTCACACAGCTCGTATAAATCAAGTTATAAACAAACAGCTTTCCAATACTTTTAAATGAAAACAGTCCAGCTTTAACGGGAAATGAAAAGTCACGCATGAACCGTAGAAAGTTGTGTTGGCTATGTGGTGAATTAACCGAACATAATGTACGGTGAAATCAATAACTGCTTCGGTTTATATAAAAAATATTTAGAAAGAAAAATTTTTTCTTCACCTACCTTCAAGAAAGATAGTTTTGGGTTTTAATATTATTACAGACAAAATATTATACGAAATATAATTTGACAAATACCTGAATGTATAAAAAATATTATTATAGAATCGCAGTTTTTTATATGAAAGCATCTTACCGCTAAAAATTATTACGAGAAATTTATTCTATAGAGAAAAAATACTTGTGGGTAATGTACATATAAAATAATATTATAAAACGTAAAAATAGACGGACTTATTATACATATATGTATGTATGTATATACAAAACGTTATTTTTATAGTTATGTAGTTAATAAAAGTATATTGACAATTAATATATTAGTGTGTCAAATATTTTATCAAAGCATACACAACAAATACAACTGAATTTAAAAATACATATTCTGTTCACGTAATTTTTTTTCTTATTAAATATCAATTTTCTTTAGCCATTCATTAGATTATCTCGTAATATGCAAATACTTTTTATGTAAATGTCTATTTTTCAATATTTTTTTTCATCCCGTCTTTGTGTTCACAGTTGCTGCAAAGTTACCGAAATGGGAGTACGTAGTTTAAAATAATAAAATACGCGTTATAATCAATAAATATTAGTTTCATTTAAATTAATACTCTCGAAAGTCTTAGATCACGTAATATGTCTATAATTTTGCTAAAATCATCGTAACCGATTTAGAACAAAACTTCTATATTGTTCAATCCTACGTCTAGTACCCATAATTTGGAAAAAAAAAATATTCTCGCTATAAATTATATACGTAAAAAAAAAATATGGGTTAAGATTTATACAAACGCACACACATTCATTAATGGTTACATATGTGAGCGACAGACATACATACACACATACACATATATATAATTAAAAAAATTATCAAACCTTGTTTTGCCCTTTGGTGGTTAAAAATAATTATTTGATAGACTGACAATTATAAAATAAACAAAGGGAACAAACTTTTTTGAACTCACAGACAACGAATTATTGTCTATGCTACAAAGAGAATGGAAAGCATAAAAATCATTACTTGAATTTTACATTAAATTATAAATAAAAATATTTCATTGGAGTGAAATCTGTATTTATTTTGGCAGAATGTTCGATCATTGTTACGCGAATATTAAAATTATGACTTTAGTGATAAGGCATAAAATTGTTTGAACGCTATACATTATTAGGAAAACGAATCACTATATGTATTATTAGTACAAATTCCACATCATATTATTATTAAAACAAAATTCATACATTTAATCACGAAAACACTCACTCATGCATATTAATTTGGATAATATTTAATAATATAAATATATATTACCTTCTTATCCAACGAAAGAAACTATTAGCTCCTTTTCTCCCGCCCGATTTCTTTTTCTTTCCCATTATTTATAACAGACATAAACTTACACTAAGTATATGAACAAGTTTAAATATGGAACTAGAATTCTTCTACGATTACATTCAACACATCACTTAGTTCTAATATAGCGCGTTTAAATTTGGAACGCCGTCTGGTCGCTGCTCTATGCTTTGGATAAAAAAAATATAAACAAACTTGGATAGAACCTATAAACTAATATATGTACATTTAAATTAAGAACAGCAACAAAAAAAAAGTTATTCACAAAAGCTACGGGGTACCAAGGAGGTTTACGTTTGACAGGTTATATTTACCAAAACGAGAAAAAAAAAACACAAAGTAGGTTTTAATCAAAGAGTATTCGCTGTTCACGTATGCGGCATGTCGGGCGCACGCTTCGATACTGGCGCGTGTCCACGTTCAAATTTAGAATTCTAAAAAAAAATATATATGGATGCACTGCGAGAAATGCAGGCTGGGTTGATTTTATTTTTGTCTTTATACTAATAAATAATAATTATTTATTTACACTTAACAATATATATATGTAGTATTATTTACTATAGCGTTTTATTTATATGTATATATATATAATAAAGATGGAGTGTGAAATAAAAATAAAAGTAAGGACGTTAAAATAACCTCGCTTGGTGTATGAGTCAGAGTGATATATCTGTTTCAAAGGGAGTGAAATTCTTAGACGTATTAATTTTATTTTAGTTATACACTGGTAGCTGAGCGCGACTTTGTCTGCATTTATTTTTAAATGACTACGAAGATCGAACACAAAAAAAAAGATTTAAGGAATAATTAATTCAGTCACAGCCTTATAAAAATATATTTAAATTAAAAATTATCAATAAAATAAAAGCAAAGTCTTTAAATAATATATGTATATATATATAGATAATAAATCAATTAATATTACCCCTATGATGCAACGAAATGTATCTGGCAATATTCCAATACATTTTATAGCATTGAGGAAATACAAAAATAATACGTAATTGGTCACCAAACTGATACTTCAGCGGCCATCTTGTTTTAAAATGGACCAATTTTATTGCAATGTAAATTATTTGAAACAGGATGAAAAATATATATAGCTGTATAAGTATAATAATAATATTTAAATAAAAATAATAATAATTAGTAAAAGACTCAAGCTATTAAGGGATACTATTTACATATATATAGAAATACTAGCTGACCCGAACGTTGGTTTGCCATATAACAAATAGGGGTTGGTGACAAACAAAAAAATTTAGTCTGAGAAAAAAAATTAAGGGTGAAAAATAGATTTCATCAAAATCGGTCCAGCCGTTTCGGAGGAGTTCTCTATCTTACACCGCGACACGAGAATTTTATATATAAGATATATAAACTAGAAAGTTTTTACTTAGTTATTACCAATCGAAAACCAAACGTCAAATAACACTGCAGGATAGAAATATTAAAAAAGCATAATAAGTACGAGTCCTAATATAACTGAATACGGATGGAAATGTTTGTTTTAATATACATACATACATACATCATATCCCGGTTGCGTTCAGATTTATTTAATAAGAAAACAATACGTTTGTCCGTCTGCTGTGGAAAGATTAGTGGAATCTTTCATATAGTGTATATATAAATAGATTATTAATATAATTTTCTATCTTTTACAGAAACAGTAATTCAAAAATATATTCGTAAAGCAATATGCAAAAATTATTATTAATTATTATAGAAATTTCACTTTAAAAAATTATGAATTTAATACAATTCTGAACACGCTGTATAATAAAAAATGAAATATTGCAATAACTTTTCATTGTTATATACTTCTAATCAACCATAACATATGTTTAATATATAATATTATAGCCATAAAGAAAAGTTTTCAAACAAAGGTTCAGTATTTATAAATACTACTAAAGATATGAGAACTCCTTTAACAAAAATAAAAAGTCCATTCTCACAATAGATCTGCACTTTAGACTGCATGTAGATAAAAAAAAAATAAAGGTCATCGACCTCACACTGGCTACAGTCCAAAATTAGGAACTTGATTGCGAATTAAAATAGATATATAAATATTATTATAAATTACTCAAATTATATAAATCAAGAAGAAAATAAAAAATAAGTAACGTAAAAAATTTGATTAAAAATATGAAAATTAAAACCTCTTTGGTGCACTTTTTAAATATATTATTTATATTAGTTCTTTTTTTTTATTTTACAGGAACTATGGCATTACAATGTTGAACCGCTGCCGTTATATTAACAGTTTTTATGAATGTAACACTACTCTTAAACCACAACCACATTACACAAATACACTATATTATATTATTAAAAATTCTTTTCAAATAACTCTATTTTATACAGGGTGACTGGTGAATTACTATCAATATTTAAGGACCATACTCGGTACATGATTCTCATTCGAATTATGTAAAAAAAATAGGTACTTAATTTTTGACCAAATTTCCGTATAAATAAATAAAGTGTTGACACGTTCCAAGTGTTCCAAGTGTGGACGCGTGCGGCGGCGTGCCGATACAAAACCACGCCCCCGCCGCGTATGTGTGAGTGTGTGTGTATACCTAATCTGTAGGGTGTTCACACGATGCGTAATTAATTACACAACTTTTGGTTAACTTTACTTAGAAGTTTATTAATATTTATGTTATATTAATTTTTATTTTGTCATATATGATCGTCAAATATCACGTCCTCAAATATCGATAGTAATTCACCAGTCACCCTGTATAATTTAATCCAAAGCATAGAATCAATATATTTATTTATAATTCGTGTGACGCGCGTTCCGCTTTTCGCGCCATAACCAACTGTCAAAACTCACTATGGATATTGACAGATCTGTATAAGGCTGCGGTATAAAATATACAGTATTGTTATATATAATAAAATATTAAATTTAAAATGTTCTATAAAAATATATATTAAATAAAATGAGAAAATATAGAAAATTTTTATTAGGTACTGTTATTTTTCTTTATATAACATATATTTTACAAATAAATGCAAATGATTTATTACAAAAATTACCAATACCTATAAATTATCATGAAATTCAATATAACTTACGTATTAAGAAAAAAAATAAAAATTATTATTTTTTAAACAAAGTCGCGGTTTATAAACTATATTGTTCAATCACTAGTTTATTACGATTCAAAACACATTTCCCGCCAAATTTGTCATCAAGAGACATACCACGTACTAAAATGGAAAAGGATAAATAATTTAACAGTGAAAATGATCATCCATCATTACGAATTAAGGTTCGCGTGATACAAATAAACTTATCGAAATTGATTCCTTATTTTGATATTACGATATTTTTACTATATTTTATTTGAAAAAAAATCTGTTAGAAGTATTGTGATAAATTTATTTCATAAAATAACATACGAGTATGATTTTCTGTCGGTAATCTATTCACGATTTTATATTACATCAATTAAATTTATTAATTACAAATAGTATTCTTAATACGTGTACGCACGTCAATCGAAACTTTCAGTTTGCAGTAAACTGGCTGGATTTAGTTTGACAAAGAAATCACTTACAAATGCTATTTTAATTATTTCTATGAATATATAATAATTCATAATCAAAAAGTGACTATGTCGAGCGAGAGGTATAACAGATAAATCTCTCTACAACCTACTAAAAGACTTGGGCCTGTCCACATTAATACATTCTTGGAACGTACTTCGAAGACAGCCATAATAGTTCTTTTCAAATTTGGTTAGGTAGAGAGCTTGGACAGTGGAGGTGAACGTTTAACGCGTTAGATAGGGACCCCTTAAACCTACACCTGAGTCACAAGTCACAGTCACTGTTGAAGCTCCTCTCACTACAACAATGGACCCGACATCCGCGCGGCGAATCCATTGGTTGCTAAGAGGTTTCGTCTTATAATTTTTTTTTTCTTGTATATCATACGATACATTTTACCGTCAAAATTGATTAATTGTAACTAATATTTTCGGATTTACTACGCGATTTTTATTTGTGATTATAAACTACAGCTGCGTGCAAAAGTATTAGGCACCCCTATTGTTAGTCACTATCTCATTATATTGCGGTCAAGTCTGTGTTTTATGGTTTAGCTATTGTATTAGCGGCAATTTTTAACCAAATTAAGATAAAAGAAAATATTTATGACATCCAGGTGTGCTCCTAAGCGGTGTTTCTTCGAATTTGCTTTTTTTGCGTTTCGGGTTATAGTGTGTTATCAGTGCTTGCAGTGAACATACACGTCTTCTACGCAACTATTCCTATCACAATTCTAAAGACTAACATTTAACGTGTTAATCATGCCGAAAAAATCTGAACTTAGTGCTGAACAGCGTCTAAGAATTAAGATTTTACATGAACAAGGCATGTCTCAGGTTAAAATAGCCCGAGAAGTGAAGTGCTCGCGATGTGCAGTTCAATATGCTATAAATCGCTTCAAAGAGACTGGCACCCATGAAAATAGACCAAGAACAGGCAGAAGAAAAGTTACTACTGAACGGGAAGATCGATTGTTGATTAGGCAGTCTCTACAAAACAGGAAAAAAACTGCTTTAGAGCTCGCTGCAGCATTATCTGAGGCAAAAGGCAGCTCAGTGAGTGTTTATACTGTGAGAAGAAGACTTCTTAAAGCTGGATTAAAATGATGTAAAGCAAGGAAGAAGCCGTGGCTGTCAGAACACAATAATAAAAATCGGTTGGAGTGGGCACTCAAACATAGAGATTGGTCAGTGGAAGATTGGTCCAACATACTGTGGTCAGACGAATCTAACTTTGAGGTATTGTTATTTATTTTATGTACAATATTAAAACACATAAATGCTTTTAAAATAACGTACTGCAAGAAAAATAATAACTTTGAAAATAAATGTGTTTTTTTCGTTTGGCATAGGTGTTTGGAACACCCGGTGTGACTTATGTTAGGCGAAGGGTTGGCGAAGAATACAACCCAGAATGTGTGGTTCCCACTGTTAAGCATGGTGGAGGC